TTCTGTGCCGCCTCCAAGATTTCAAATTTATTCCTTTAATTCCTGGTGCCTTGTTCTTTGCTAATTCCTTCAATGCACTTTGGACTTCTTCCTTCAGTATCATTGGTTCTGGATCATATGCTACCTCTTGAAACGGTTGAACATTAAACATTTGCTTTTGGTACAGTGACTCTGTGTATTCCTTCCATCTTCTTTTGGTGCTTTCTGCAACATTCAATAATTTGCCCAGAGAATCTTTCAATAACGAAAGTCAAGGCTTGAAGTTTTTCTTGGGTCCCCCAGCTTAAGAAATGCTGAGTGTGTTCTTCTGTTTTGGTTTTCTGACTCCCAATCTTTGCACATTTTGTTGTAATATTTGGCTTTAGCTTCTCAAGTTGATCTTTGAAATTTTCTGTTCAGCTCTTGTACCTCCTCATTTCTTTATTTGCTTAAGCAGCTCTACAATGGAGAGCAAGTTTCATTGTCGCTTCTGATATCAATTTTGACCTTTTCCTTCTTTCTTGTCTTCTTAATGACTTTTTGCTTTTTACTTGTATGTTTTTGATGTCATCCCACAACTCTTCTGGTCTTTAGTGTTTAATGTATCAAATCTGTTCTTCAGATGATCTCTCTAAATTCAGGTGGGATATATTCAGAGTAATATTTTTGACAACTTCCAATTTTCCTAGATTCACACGTCATACATTCCATGTTGCAATTATTAATGGATGTTTACAGCTGTTTGTCTTCATTTTGAGTTGCGCCCCATCAGCAAATGAAGGTCCTGAGGGCTTTACTCCATTCGCTTCATCACGGTCAACTCTACTCTGAGGAGGCAGCTCTTCCCCAGGCATATTTTGAGTGCCTTCCAACCTGAGGGACTCATTTTCCGGCACTGTATCTGACAGTATTTCTCTGCTAGTCATAAGGTTTTCAGTGACTAAATATTCGGAAGTAGTTAATCACTCCCTCTTCCTAGTCTGTCTTTGTCTGGAAGCAGTTCTGAAACTTGTCCACCATGGGTGACCCTGCTGGTGTTTAAAATACCGGTGGCATAGCTTTCAGAATCACAACAACTCACAAGCCACCGCTGTATGACAAACTGACAGACGTGTGGTAGAGTAAAATAATTATTCAGTATTAAATATGGGAACAAGAAGAAAGATGAGGCTTTCTGCTCCCACAAAGATTTAAATTCTCAGGAACCCTATATAGGAATGATATGAGTTCAAACTGAATTGATGGTCTAAACAATAGCAATAAGGATTAAGTGGAATGACACATGTACTTCTTGGCACATAATTGACATATGTTCATTAAATGGTAACTACTTTCAGTCAGTTATCTAAAAATTTATGTAGCACACCTTGTTATTTCATTATTTAAATTATTTTCATATGCTAGCTTAAGAATTTTTTTACATTAGAATTGAGAAACAGTGTTGATGAACATAGTAACTCCAAATTGTTTTTTAAAATAAAAAGGTGTTTGTTTATATCCTCTCCTGAATATTTTATTTATACAATAGGAGTTTCTCAATTTCAGTCGTCCCTAATTTCCACTATAAAAGATATTTTAACAACAACAACTGCATTGCCAGTGAGTTGATACTGACTCACAGCGACCCTATAGGGTTTCGAGACTGTAAATCTTTATGTGAGCAGGTAGCCTCATCCTTCTCCTCTGACCTTGGGTTAATCCAACATCTAACCCAATTCAATTTGAACACTTGGTCAATTTTTCAATAATTTTATTTTTTTTAATGATAAACATCTTTTCACATGAGCTCTGTAATATTTCATTCCACATTTTAAGTCTGTACTTCTTACTATGGTAAAGACATACGCAATTTTGTGTACAGACAAACAGACATTTGTAATTGGTCCTGGTGTGGTGCTGTATGATAAGCATTAGACTGCTAACTGCAAAATTGGTGGTTCAAGCCCATCACTCGCTTCTCATAAAACCTATACAGGGTTACTATGAGTTGGAACCAACTTGATGGCAATTAACATAGTGCCATCTTTTCCTACTTCTAAGAAAAGATGACGGAGAGTATTTATGTGAGGGTCTACTGGAGAGTCTACTGGGGACAGCTTCAGAAAGAATAACATTGGTAACATTTCTTTCCAGCATTTGAACACTTCACCAAAAGGAGACCCAGGTTATGGATGTCCTCAGACTTAACATGAAATACTGTCGCAGATTTACTGGTCTTGATGATGAAAGTCATGTATATCTTCTAGGTTCTCTCTAAAATGGCTCTTCTGATGACTCTCATATTCAGCTATGATGAATATTTACATACAAGATGTTTCTTAAAATGTTCAATAGCCATCTAAAACAATTACTGAAATATACATCAAACAAGAAAGTTTTCATTTTTACTAACTTCATTTAAGAAAACTGAATTCAAGGTATTAGTATAGCTACATAAATAGTAAAGAATAAATAAATCCTAAATTTTATGAACTCAAAGAATCGTTCCAGAGTTTAAAAAATACATATATTAACAAAATTATATGGAATATTTGTTTTTCTTTCTTAAAGTCATTATGACTCCCAATATGAACAAGAATAACAGCAATTGTACATAGAAATGCATTTAAATCAAGAAAAGATGTTCAATTACTAGTTCCAAAGTATGGTGTTAAAATTCTTATATCCATATGTGACTTCTCTGTTTTTTATAGAGCATAAAGAAAGCTCACAAATTCAACCCACAATACTTCTCTTCTCTCTTTGTAAGTGAAAAGAAGATTCAATGAATCTTATGAACCTAAAAATTAACTTGCATACTTAATGGAATGCTAAGTACTAATTCAAAATAAATTGTGGCTGTACCAAAAGGTTGTAATCTAAATAACAAGATCTGAACAATGATACATAATGTTCAATATTTCAGACTTAATTTCAATTTCAAGTTACAGGCCAATTTATTGACAGAACCGTTGCTTTTTTACTTGACCCACAGCCATAAGCAACGAGTAGAGAAAAACAGTGAAGGACATCATCATAAATCTTAGCACTATTTATCCTCTAGCTCAATTTTTACCTAAAATATTTCAAGTTATGCACACCTTAAAATATGAAATAATTTAAAGAAACATTAACTTGAAAACTGAGTAAAATGTTTACTTTGTAATGGCATATGGATTTAATAATAATTTCTATCCTTACTGTGGGGTAATGCATCAGACTGCAAAGTAATTTGAACTGCAAGGTTGGTGGTTCAAGCTCACCAGCAGCTCCTTGGAAACCCTATGCAGGGTTGCTAGGGTTTGGAATCTACTTGATGGCACTAACAACAACAACTCATTATAATTCACACATACAGCAGCTTTAATTTTTTTTTACAAAACCTAATCAGTTCTAGTCTCACTTGCATGTCCAAGAAGATAAAAGATGCAAGGTAGATAGAGTGCCTTTACTTGAGGGGAAATATAATTTTGGGGATGTTCCCAAGGCTGTCTCTCGTCTTAGTTTTCCCCAGTGCAAATGGGCAATAGGCAAAACACTCCTCTTTCACTATGAAAGTCTATTATTCTGCAGCTTCCTATATCCATATGTAAGGGTTGGGATCCAGAGAACCCATCACACTGTAATTTCTCCCAAGGATCATTATTTTAAATTTAGCATTAAGATGCTTACGAAAATCACCCAGCTATTCTTATATCATTTGATTAAATCCATTTACCTCAAGTGTCAAGCAAAATAGCCAAATTGTATAGCCTTTAAAGCTGAATAGTGTTTGGATATGCAAACTTTTCTTGCAGATGAACTGTATCATACAGACATTATCATTAAAGTTCTAGAGAAAAAAAAATCTTTGTCTGCTGTTGTTGTTGTTAAGTGCAATAGAGTCAGTTCTAACTAAGTAATCTCATAAATGACCCTGTGTAGGATTTCCAAGGGGCAGCTGGTGGGTTTGAACTGCCAACCTCAGGTTAGCAGTCCAATGCTTGTACTACATCTATGTTTACAAATTCAAAGTTTCCAAAAAATGGCATTAATTCACTAACAGTTCTTGCCTTTTTGTTCTAAGTTACTAATATGTTGTGTGGGTTTGTTGTTGTCATCAGCACGGTATTAAATTGTTTTTGATGTATTTCCGAGTCTCTCATTATGTGAATAGAATGAAAGCCATTTTTATATGGAATATTTGGTCCATATTATTAACCTTTAATGGATGACCACAAAAAATCTAGCTCCCATGAATATAAGAATATCTTTGATGATGCATGCAAGATAGCAATTTTATGCTTATTATTAAGCGACTCATGTTTACAAAGGAGCTCTGGTAGCGTAGTGGTTACGAATCGGGCTGCTAACCTTAGGGTCAGCAGTTCGAAACTACCAGCTATTCCGCGGGAGAAAGATGAGGCTTTCTTCTACTCCTGTAAAGATTTACAGCCTCAGAAACCCTGTACAGGGTCGATATAAGTCGGAACCAACTCCACGGCACATAACAACAACAACAACATGTTATACAAGTATGTTGTTTGCTATTGTTAAGTGCTGTCGAGTCGGTTCTGAATCATTGCAATGCTGTATAGGTTTTCTAAGGAGTGGCTAGTGGGTTTGAATCACCAAGTCCAGTGCTTATCCAACTGTGCCACATCAAGACTCATGTTGAAGCAAAAAGCAAATAGCTTTATGTGCCGTATTTCTAACATGTAAACTATATAAAAGACAAAGTTATATTTGCTATTTTATATATAAGAGAATATTGGCACTTTGCAGTCCAGCGCATTAACCCATAGCTCCGCACACAAGGTCGGCAGTTCAAATTTACCAGACACTCCTCAGAAACCCTACACAGGGTGGCTATCAGCCAGAACTGACTCAATGACACTTAACAACAACAACTGGCACTTAAACTGACCACATTTATTTCATTAAAACTTCTCTTAATTTCAATAGCTATTTATAAATTCAAAATGTTTTCATTATCAACCTATTTGAGGAAACTGTAATAGTCTACATAAATCATGATACAAAGAAAAGTCTTCCCTACTCACCTGTCTGTTACGTTCATCCATAATCCTTGTAATCTGAATCTTTTTTCTCCCCATAGTCCCCGTTTTTCTTCTCTCTCTCGTCCCTGAAATTATGTATTTTTTCCTTCCTTTTCTTTCTCTTTCCTGTTTCCTCCAAACAAATCTCCTTCTTCAGCACTTGCACAGCTCAGTTCCCAAATTCCTGCATTCGTTCCTGTGAAACAAAAATGAAAACATTAAAAATCAGTATAACAGCAAACCAATTTCATAAGAAACACCACATTCTAGCATTAGAAAGGAAATAAACTATATGGAAGTAAACCAATAAAATGAATGAAAATAAGTGTTTATTAAAAGTACATGATATATCACATGCCGGGCCAATTCAAATAGGAATGGTTTGTTTTTATAATTAAAGTAATCTCATAAGTAATTTAATAAGTCATTTAAATGATGAAAACCATGCTTTAAATTAAAGCCCAACACTTGAGAGGTATTTTTTGCAAAGAGTTTCTTAACATTTTAAAATGAAATTAGGTGACTATTTTCACCCTTCGATTATGAAAAATTACCTAAATCAGAGAGTTAATGAACCTTTATGTACCTGTGTATGCTAAGTAGGGCAGCTAATTCATTTCTGAAGGGAAAACAATCTTGTGTTTTGACAGCAGAGGTGATAACGTCCCTCGTTATGCAAATAGGATGGACTATTATGAAAGTGCTAGTTGATACATGGAAATGTCAACTAATTTAAATCTAAATTCTTTATTTTTAAAAAAATCACTGCTATGAGAACACTTGCAAAATAATACAGGATATTTGATCTTATATAACAAACATCTATAAGCAGCAAGATCCCTTTTCTTTTAAAAACCCTTAAACTGTATCTTAAAAACTGAAAGAGAGAATCTTTGATAGAAAAGACGTAGTACAAAAATTAGAGTGCTATGCTACTTATAGCTATGTTTTTAAAAGAGACTTCAGTCCTCATCACGGAAATATTTAAAAAGACACAAAGTATCTCTTTAAGGAGCAAGAAAAGATCTTTAGGTCATGAATTAAAGAAATGATCATCAACACCATAGGATAAGCCCAAGGAACCCAGAATTATAGAAGTATGCATTTTATTTTGTTTTAAGTTCTATCTGAAAATATTTCAACATAATGGAAAGAAATTGTTATGAAATGCAGACATTAATAAGAAAGCATTCCTCAATGGCTTCTTCATGTGCAAGCAACAGCTTCAGTTACTCTCCTCTGTCTTATGTCAGTGAATGCAACAACTTTACACATCATTCAGAATTTCCCTGTTTATGTTAGTTGGTGTCTGACAACTAACCTGATAAATTCCCACTTGTATTAAATACCATTAAGCCAATGTCCTGACTTTAATAGATTATCTGGCTTCAGTTCAAGTTTATTGGAACAGGAAAGCTGTTACATACTTGGTTTGATCATCAGCAATCCTTTGATCTCCTTAATTTAATTTCTAAGTTCTTTATCACCTTGAGTACTTTTTTAAATTTAAGTTTCTCATGATTATCTAATTGCAGATGCCATTATGATATAATTAGTTCTGGTGGATTAGCATTGTTACAATACTAAGGACTATCCATTCTCTTTTGTTAAATTCCTTCCTATTAAACTGCAGTCGGGTTCTGCATCTGAGAATATATGTGTCTAGTAACATCATGACCCCATAGTGCTCATCAAATACTATTACCCCAGCTATATTTTAAATGTTGGATGTAGTTCAAAAGTCTAATAGACATATAAACCACACACACTTGGCAAATATACATGAAAAAATTTGCTGTAAACTGTTATATAATTATTATAAGATACATTAATATCATATTAAAATGTGAAAAAAAATCAACAAAACACATTGCATCATACATATATATATAATTGCTGCTGCCAAACTGTCCATCTATTTTTAGAAACATTCTTAAATATCACTCAACTGAGCAACTTTCCTGTTTTTCCTATAGTCTTACCTTAGCAGCAAGCAGCATGTTAGAATGGTATTATTTCCCATGCATATGTAAGACCCTCAAGAGACAAACAGGCTTTCTCTGTCACAGAAAAGCCAGTGCATGAACCCACAGTAAAGGCATATGGGACAGTTTCCTTTCCTTTTCGTTTAGCTGAGGAGGGTGGCAACTATCCGCTTACAGGACTATGCCTGTCTAAGCGCTTATTCACTTTAAGGTGGAAGGTCAGGGAGAACAGATTAGAACAAGGTGACAAGGCAGGGGAGAGGAGAATTTCCACAGATGCTGATTTGAAAATTTAAAAAACAAAACAAGCAGAGAAACAACCCTGGAAGAAAAGTGCTCCTCAGAAAAAGTTTCTAATGAATTGCACTCAGGAGTTCCTCTGCACCACTGGATTTCACAGTTTGGAAACACAGACTTTTTAAAAAAAAGACAACAGCAAGTATTTATTTTATTATTAACTCATAATTGGGAATATTTTGCCAGAAAGGAAAAAATATACATCTATATGATTGATAAAAACGCCACGGACTATGTCTTCATTTATGAAATGGGCAAGGAAATAGAGAAGCAATTTTAAATTTCCACGTAATTAAGCATTTTTTTTTTTTTTGCTTCCTACAAAAAAATGAGTATTTCTTTTGAAAATGTAATGATATTTCTAAAATGAAAAAACTGATACTATTACGTAAATATGCAAAATAATATACAGTGAGGATGCAACTGAGTAACTTTCAAGAAGTAAAATGGGTCACGGTATGTGCCACATTTCCAGTTTGTCAGTATTCATTCAAGGATTTAGGAATATCAACAATAGCCCACAAGTTGTTTGCCTAAAACAACTATTTCTCAAACCTGATTTTTCTGCAAAAAACGATTCTATAAGGTAAGTTTCAAGTATTGATTTGTAGCAGGTTAAAGAGGCTGAGAAAGAGATTATATATAACTTTAATAATACAACTCTTTTGTATCTATATGAAAAACGAATAATAGCTAAACTGTATACAGTAAAATAACAAGCAATGCTGAGAACTTTATTATGTACAATCAACCATAAGCTTAAAATAATTCCGGCAGTCTTTCTGCTACTTCTTTCTACATGAAAGCAGCATTCTTGGAAAATGACAGACTCAAGTACAAACAATCAGTAATTTAAAAAAAAAAAAAGAAAAGAAATGCTCTACCATAGTTACACTCTATAGAGTTAGTCTTTTGCAATTTTTTTGTCTGTTGTTGTTGTTAACCTAAATATAAGAAAGATAAAATCAGGCTGCTTACTAAAAAGGGGAACTTCATTATGGCAGGCTTCTGTTCACTTTTGACTTTGGCATAGTAGGCAGATGAAGGCAAAATTGTTTGAGACCCAAGTAGAGAGGAATTTCTTCTGGACAGATACTAAAGATCATTCTTCCACCAAGACTATCTCATTAACAAACAAGTTCCCTTCAGTGACACACACCATACCCCTCCCTTCTTCATTCCCTCTCTCCCTCTTTCTTACTCTCTTCCTCTCTCCCTCCCTCCTACAAATCCCTCCCAGTAACACAGAAGAATCTTGACAGAATGGCAGGAAACACGCACAGACTGGTCAGGGAAGGATATGATGTCAGCAACCACGAACAATAAAAGGTGTAAAGGTGCTTCCTTCCCTAAACTGTTCCAGAAGTGTAAAATGGGAACCAAAACTCTCCACTTCCTTCTCTGAGCAGAACCGTCTGAGCATGCTATGCTGCGAAGACCCACAAAGAGAGGCCTTTAAGAGGTTCAGATAAGGGACAGTGAGAAAACTCCAGACAAGGGGACGTAATTTTTAATTTCTATTTTTATGACAACTGATAAAAATCTTTTTCAGCTGTAGGTTTAGCATTTTGCATTGATTACTTTAAGCAAAAAGAAAACAACACATTTTGGTGAATTAGCAGATATATCAAGAAAATCTTTTTGCCTAGATTAAGCAGTCAGATTGTCTTAATTTACCTCTTGAGACAAATGAAGAATTCTATACAAGCAAAAAGTCAAAAGAGATAAATTATTTTTGGTAAAAATACAGAAACATAAAACTATCAAAGAAATTCAATCTTTGTTGATAAAACACATTGGTTGCTTTTTTTCTCCACAGTTACAAAAAAAATGTATACTTTGAAGGTGGAGGGGGTGGGGAGATTCTGATGCTCTCAAGGTTCTTTAAAAAATTCACACTAAGATCCAAAGTAACCAACAAACTTTCAGTACCTAGTACAACAATTCTTTTTTAGCTCATCAGTATTAGGTTCTGTCTAACATGGAAACGGCAGTCTACCCTAAGGTTTCTGTAGGAAGAAAACCACATATCAAGTGAATCTGAGTCATCTTCAGATTTCAATCATCTTCCCACAACACTTTGATTTAGAAATTAAACATAACCTTCAGTTATGTGTTTAGATCTTAGAGTAAGACTGCCATGCCACATTAAAAGATGGAGGAAGAAAGGAATTCTCTTCTGCTAAACTTACCTTTGCAAAGCTTTTCTTTTGCTACAATAAGCACAATGCAGTCACCCAAAAATAAAAACAGCCTATGAACAATGATAAAACACTTAAGTATGTGATACCACCTTGCATAGAAGGAATTCTAGCTTTTTTTCTCTTACACTAGCAAACAACTCTTTCACTGACCCATTTTCACTAATACATCTTCATAAATGTCTGTACCGCTGTAGGATAAACAGTAGACTGCTAACCACAAGGTCAGCGGTTCAAACACAACAGTTACTCCTCAGAAACCCAATCAGAGTCGCTATGATTCTGAATCGACACAACACCGCAAAACAACATCTTCATTAAATATTTTGTAAAACCTCAAGGCTGAAAATAGTGCACACTATCGCAAACAAAAAATAATACAAGGTAACAGTGCATACTATCTTATACAAAAAAATAATAATAAGGTACAGAAATGATCACAAGCCACTGCTTTGAACCCAGATGAGGCTTTCTGCTCCTGTACAGATTTACCGCCTCGGAAACCCTGTACAGGGTCACTATGAGTTGGAACCGACTCCACGGCACCTAGCAACAACAGCAACATTACTAATTTAGACACTTAAATGATCCATTATCATTTTAAGGGGGAAACTTCATTCATTATGGCACACATGTTAAG